AATTGACGCTTTCTACTGACCTTATAAGTTTTAACTTGTGTTATACACTATGATAAATTAACTGCAGAAATTTTTAAAGTCATATATAATTCTTTTAACATTAGTTTATGTTATAGGAAAAGGCAATAGTAGCCCAGTTGTAAATCTCTTGAGAAACCAAATGATGTTTAGACCTCGGGTTTCAAAAATATTATAATTTCATGTGTGAACTTTTTTCAACATGATCATTACTTCTCTAATAGCGAAGGAAAACATCGTGAGGAAACTTTAATGTTTGAGAGAACTGAGCAAGTTTTCGATAGATGTGTAAATTCTGCCAAACCCGCACCTGGCCAGCAAGGTGAACTATGACCCGACCCCTATATTGAAAAGAGGCCTGTGCCCAGCAGTGGGACGTTAAAAGGGGCTGAATACGAATAGAAAGATGGGTTAATAGAAAATGTTTGTTTGTAAAAAATTAGAAGCCACTGCTATTTTAGTGAATGCGAATCATTGTAGCTTGTTGCCTAAACAAGTTAGAATATCAACATTAATTATGTAAACTTCATATATAATGATTGCTTACGTATAAAGTTGCGTACGTAGTAATCCGGTTAGGTTATTAGATTTTAGATAGAGTCTATTAAAGATCTATCTTTAATTTTTAAAGCCATACAATTTATACACATGTGTGTATTCAGCCCTTTTTAACGGCCCACTGCTGGACACAGGCGTCACTTCAGTACTAGGGGGCTCAGGCCACAGTCCATCACGCTGGCCAAGTGCGAGTTGGCGGTCTTCACTTGTGTTTTGAAAACATGCTAGGTTCTCTCAAACATGCAGATTTCCTCACAATATTTTCCTTCGACGCTAAGACACTTGTCGTCTTGGTAATCATGTTGGAAATGTTTCGCACATGAAAATATCAGAGGTACGAAACCCGGAATTTGAACCCGCTTCACTCGATTTCTCAAGCGAGCGCGCTACCACTGGGCTACCACTGCCTTATACACATGTAGGTGTACCTATACATTTTAATTCAAAAAAATAAAAATTATGAGTTAGAAATAAGCGAAAAACAATTTTACACGATTGAAGCTTTTTAACCATCCGCTTGTATTTGTTAAATACCGGAAGTTGAAACGTCCATATCACTAAGTATCCTCATATTTCAATTCAAAGTTCAAAGAGGAAGCAATATTTGCCGATGATGATTAATTCTTATTTTTGAAAGACGGAAATCGCATCACTAATTATTATAATTAATTTAAAAAGCTCAAAGTTTCTATAAGCACTAACACGTAACGTACTAGGAATACGTTTCGTTAAAACTAAATTTTTTACGTAAATTAATAATAATAGATACGAGAAATAAGAAAACATATGTCGTATCATAGATACATCTATCATTTATACATGTACCTATACCTAATTTCTACAACTGTACCTAATTTAAACACGAAATGATCAAAATATGGGACGGGACTGCTATTAAAAATGTAAAAGTTTCAAAATAGCTACTACTACACTGACAGCTGCTGACACAACTAAACAGATTTGGATGATGTTTTTAGTACACAGATAGGCTATGACGAGGAGTAACACATAAGCTACTGTTAGAAGAGAGCAAAGCGAGACTAAGCCACTATCTATACAGATAAATAAAATTGAAGTGTCTGTTTGTAATGTCAAAATAACAGCTTTTTACTAAATGCACATGAAATTATATACGGTACTTCTAAATAAACGGCTGGACCGATTTTAATAGGACTTTTACTGGCATATAGCTGATGTTATAAGAAGTAACTTAGGCTACTTTTATTTTATTTCAGAAAAAGAATAAAGGGTTCCGCTTAAAAAAATAAGACGTACCCGAGCGAAGTCGCTAGTTTTATATAAGATGCATATAAATAGCAGCAGCATGAAAAACCCTTTCTTTTTATAATTTGTATTAAGTGCGTAAGTGTTATATTGAGAATACAACATTAACGCGTCGAGGTCAGGGCTGTTATAGGTTATTTTTATTAAGCTCCTTTTATACTATCAATGTATGATGTATTGCATATTTAACTATCTATTAATATATTTTTTTTCTTCGTTTACGTGCAAGCAGTTTTCAATTATAAACAGATTTGTAAAAAAACGCGTTTTTTTTTAATTTTACATTCAAAATTAAAGTTGAGTCAATCAAAAATACTATATAGTATGTACATCTCTTTTAAGTTTAATTATAATATTCGTATATTACATATGCGAATGTTTATAAGTTATTATGTTTGATTCGTGTTCACGCTGTAATAATTTAAAAAGGAGACAAGTGCTTAGAATTGATATAACTTACGTCAAAACAAAACAAACCAAATATTTTATATTTGACTAGCATTGCCCGCGGCTCCGCCCGCGTTCAGATAACCAAAAACCAAATTCTTAGGTTTTATATATTAGTATACTCTTATTATGACTATTTGATCAAAATCCCTCTAGTGGTTTTTCCGTGATGCGGTAACGGACAGACAGACAAAAATTCTAAAAGCTATAGATTCGGCCTCTGTATCGATAATAATGTCTATTTCAATAAGATTTCCCAAAAAATATTCAATGTACAGATTCGACTTAGTTACAATTTTATTATATGTATAGAAAAATGCCACAATAAAATTTTCAAATGCCAATATAGAACAATTTGAAGTTTAATTTATATTAACTTACCAAGAGAAATGTATCTTAACTTAATTTCTTAATAGAAAAGAAATTTTAAGAAGCTTTTATATTTAAAAGCTCAAATTCAACGTAGGTTATATATACATACACGTATATTTGAAAAATTAAAGAGATAAAGCCTAACCAATGTCTAAGTGAAAGTATTTAAAACGTGTCACATTTAATTCTTACATACTTATGTGATTATCACGCTTCTAACAAGCGAGGGCATTGCGGAGAAACCGGCGTTTTAAAGTTCCCAGGGCGTCATTCACTTTTTTATCGTTAAGGCTATCTGCGCTAATTACCTTAAGACCTAAGTAGTTATTAGCTGTCGATGGTATTCAGTTTTAATCAGCATTAGCGAGTTATTTTTATATTGTTTCCATGAAATTATAAATAATTATTTTGTTATTGACAAAAATATTTGATTATTTGTATATTTCTTATAGTACATACATACTATGTCTTTAACAGCGCATATTTTTCCCAAAAACATAACAGTTTAAAAAAGACTAAGTTTTAAAACTCGGTTTATGAAATTGAACTTTGACCTTTAGAGTATAAAATTATAACCACCAAGCCATTGAGGTTTTGCTCAATTAATAGCAAATTATTATTATAGAACTAGTGATCTTTTCTTGAATTAATTGTTTGTTTGTTCGTGTTAAGCCAGACTTAATAGACTATTCACTATTCATAGACAATCTATGCTTCAAATCTAAATTATTCTTTATTATAAGCTAAGTAAAATTAAAGTAAGGTTATAATCTGTAACCCCTTATTAATTACTACAGACTATATATAAAGGAAAATGAAATTTAATGAAAAATGTTCAGAAATCCTACCTCCATCGTGTCTTCTCCATTTTACGTAACAGTGGCGAAGTAATCTGTGCTAATTGGCATATCTTAAAGCTATTAACAAGAAAATTGAATTGAATTGAAATCCTGCCAATCTCAGAATTTATTTATAAATAATGGTCGCCCAATGGTCTAAATTCAACCATGGTAATTTTTTTAAGTATATCACTAAAGCTCTTCAAAAGCTTCTAAAAAAAAAACTAAATATGTTGACAAACAGATGAGAGAAACGTACTGAACTGTTTCGCCTTTACCTATTATATATAGAAATTCTATACCTATCGTAACTAAGTTTCGATTACCGTATATTTTATACATACATATTTATTATTATTATGCACGTGTAGCGTAATATGTAGCCTTATTTAAAAATAGTTTCAAGAATTAACATTCTTATATGTTAATAATACATAATTTATTCGTTATTGTATTGCACAATGTGCCTTCTTGTTATTTATTCTACATTTAATTTATAAGAACATACTGTTGTTTTTATTTAAATTTTAATAATGATTTAGGAAAATAATTAAAACACCATAGAATTAAATAATTAAAAAAATAACCTTACCACTACTATTTCTAACAATTTTCTAAACCAAACTTATTATTGTTATAGTGATTTTTTTATAGAATAATATATTATTTTATAAGTACCTAATATGTAATTTTAATTAGCAGCCATTTTTAGTATCCGCGTATTAAATAAAGCAAAAGGTCGCCAATAACAAGTAATATTCCCGCGGCTAATTTGCATAAAAGTGAGGCATCCCCTTATCTTGAGAGGCAGGCAGTTTGCGAAAACTTTGTCTTATTGCATTCTGATTAGACGCAATTAATTGATATTTTTGAGTTTAACTTTTTGTTTTGTTTAAATTTCATTAATTAAACAAATAATTAATTTAAATGTTTAATTTTAAGCACAATTGTTAACACCTACATATATAGGTAATTTAGTTAGTTTGTTAATGGCAACGTTTTTCAAAGTTTTCTCGGTTTTAGTGATATTTTTTTAACTATAGATAATTACAGTTCTTACATGCGTTATAATACTATTTCCATGCAATATATTTTAATAATAGATATAGGTTAATTATTTTTACGAGTATATTTCCAACTCATTATTTAAAACTAGAGTCAATTTTTTTATTCTTATTGTTTTAAAATATATCGTTTTGTGTTTTTATGTTTATAAGATAGTTGAATGTGTTATTTCGTTTAGTTGTATATTTTTTATGTAATTGAAATTTGGTTGAACAATTTATATTTTAATATGTGATTTTTCTTTGATTTCATTGTATTATTATTGATATTTCCTATTTTCCCTACTATTTTACCTATCCAACAAAAAAAACTTAGATTTTACACATAACCTGCAAACTTGCAGAAACTAAGCAATAAACACAGTGACCTCTCGACCCGCACCAACACAACACAAAAACACTTTCACTGCCTACGTACCCTCACACGTGAATTGGCCATAGTGTTTCCCGGAGGACTTATCTCCGCAGACGACGCATTCCACATTCTGGCCCTTATCTGTGGCCGACGAGCCACTCTGCGTCGACGCGGCCTGGCTTGCGGGAGTGGACGGCAGCAGTTCATCCTCTCTCCAACTGTTGCGGAAGCCGAGTTCCAAAGGCGGAAGGTCGGAGGCCCTCGGGGGGCAAAGCCCCGGGGCCCCGCCGTATACTAGCGCGCCGTGCGTGATGATGCCGGTTGAGATCGCGAGGTAAGAACGCGGTGGCGCGTGTGTCAAGGGTCGCGGTAGAATCGCGACTGAACTCTGTCGGGGCACGGCGCACTGCTATTGGCCCGGTGGCCCGGGGGCAGGGAGCGAAGGCCCCGCCACGACCCCCCTCCCCCCCACACTAGGGGGAAAATCTTTCTGTACCGTCAGTAAGAAAATATGCTTTTTGTATGTGTTTTTTTTTGTATAACATTACGTTGTATTCAAATTGTATGTAGAGTTTGTAACGGTTTAAGTTTTTTTTTGATCTAGTGAATAGTAATAAATTATAGAGTTTGTTCGTATTTGAAGCGGTTAAGTTTTGTCGTTTCTTTAAATTTGCTTAGTATAGGTATATTATTTTAGAACTGAGATGATAGATTAAAAAAAAAAAAATTTCAGCATGTTTCAATTAATTCATTTCAATATCATAATGAAGTGATATTGAGTACCTACTGATTTTCGGAAATTATATTTTTAATTCTATTTAAAAAGTATTTAATAAATAATAATATTAACATAACCAATGATTATTTAAGTACTATTATGTGTTTTACTTAGATATTCTAATAGATTATGAAAACTAAACAAATATCGAATGAAATCTAACATTTGCGTCTTGACGGTACCTGAAAATCCTACTTTGTATCAACTTTCCGACGTCCATATTTCTGCGCTACCTACCGCAATGTTAACATAGACGCTATCCTTGAGACGTAGCGCTCTACGTAGAGACTAGATAGAGACGCGCTGAAACTAATGGATTTCAGCTTTGCCTTTTTGTTTTGGGTTAAAATTCTACTTTTGTAAGTTTAATATTTAGTCATTCTATCTAAGCTTGAATAATATGACTAAAAATATTTTATATAATATATTTTTTTTTGTAAATGTTCGTCATACATTCTTTTATTTAAATATTTTTATACGAATGCACATACTTAAAGTATTGCATATAAGGCCACGGTGACTAAGTAATAAACTGCTTGGTAGAATGCAGCTGCATTCTTGAGCCAATCAAACTAATTGGAAAAGTTATCAACAAATAAAATGTGAGTACAAAACTGTGTTTACTTTGTTTAAGGCTTTAAATGTCTCGATATAATACAAAAAAAGTATTTTTAGTAGCTTTTTTAATGTTTTTATGGAAAAATATTAGTGTCAAACTCCTTTGTGGTATAATGATAACAAAAAGAAAATATAGAATTTATAACATTTTGGCATAGATTCAGAAGACACTTTATTTTCATAAATGAAAAAATTCTACAATTGCTTTCAGATAAGCAACACAAATCACATTATATATATATAAAAATATTACTCTCTTAAAATATGATTAAATTTAAAATTAAACTAGATCTAGACCTAGATATTCTCTTATGAAAAAAATCACAATTCATTAACAATGATCTAGATACGGGGCGTGTGTGGGCGGAGCCGCGGGCGCCACTCCCGCGCATTCTACGCGCGGCACTCGAGCGCTTGCGACGTGTCGCTCTACCATTTGAAATATCTGTCATTTTATATTGATTTATTGTAGATACTATTCAATTTTAGTATTTTACGACAAATATTTTAATTTACTGTTATAATGGATATAATTTACTGATTTATAACATAATAAAATGGTAGCATTTATACTTGCTGGAGGAATAGTATTTGTAAAATAACAACAACATTCTAATAATGAATATTTATGAATTTAATCATAGGTAATAAAAACCATTGGTTGTCGCATTTGAAATTATGACTCTCCTATTGTTTTGTGGTAAACAATTTTATGAAAATTGTTTTAATTATTCTATTACAATTATTGTTTTACTAATATAGTTAATTTTAAATTGATGCTTAGGTACGTATTATTTTCTCTGTTTTGCCACGTCTCATAAAGATGGCTCTCGATAAAATGCTTATTGTAATCTAGGTCAACATTCGCTTGACCGGCCTCGATCGGGCAAACTGAAGCCGATCTTCTGAACTGAATCTTATTAGTTATTAGACCACCACGTCTCATTTATAATAAGTACAAAGACTTCTTGGCTTGAAATATAAAAAAATATATTGTGGTGAATTTTACGTAGAAATTTTAGACATATAGGAGTATATTTTATATTTAGATAGATACATAAGATATTTTTAAAACTGTATTAAAATGATAAAATCTTTATGTCATACAATTATAATATGTCACGTTTAAATTTCTATTCTTCAACGATTGTAGAATAACAGCTTCTCTTAGCCTCAATCATTGTTTTTTTCAAAGATCTGTTATACTAAGTTAAACTATGGCCAATGAATTAAATGCAAAATATCGAAAGTCATTATATTAGTCACCTCTTCTACTTGAAAAATTCCTAATGTGTATCTGAGATACGATGATAGATAGAAACTGGGTCAATGTAAAACAAATTCTACTGTACCTCCAAAAAACATTCGCAAAAATGTCTATAGTTTAGTCTTTATTCTTAATCTTATTAGACTTGGCAGGTCACCAAATGACTTCCACTTTATCTACTGATTTACACAGTCTATTGAATCCTAGTCCATTCTTCTTGCTTATATTATCATTATTTATACTTTAGAATATAAGTTTTTTATGTTTCATAAGTACCTAATTCAAGATTTGAAAAATCCATTACATTCGTTAGTATTCGTGTTTAAAAGTACTTTACTTAGGAATCCAAAGTTTGCAAGAATCTTTCTTATTTAAAGGAAATAATTAAACGCTACACAATTATTTATACTGAACTCAAACCTAATATTCATATATTTTTGTGCAAAATTTTATAATTTGAACTAAATTAACTTGATTAATATTTCATTATTGTTGAAATAACAATATATCCGACTAAAACATTTAAAATTACGTCAATCCTTAAAATTTCCTTTCCACGTTGTCTTCCTAAACGTATTACCTGATATCTGATATGTGACACTTCAGGTACCCACACAGATGTGGAGCCTCACACTAGGGCGCGGGGGCGGGCCGACCTTTGACCCGCCCTCTCTCCCTCTCAGATTATTAGCTTCAAGTTTTTTGTGAATAGGGAAATACGAATTCGCTATGTCTTTGTTTGTTTTGGTTTTACAAGTATGAGGCAAATTGAGTCGTAGAGCTATATTTAAGTATGTAGAGACGTAATGCAATTATAATTGTAACTATGTTATTGTTTTCTAAGTAGCTATAATATTTTCATCTGAAAAGAAATGGTAGGTATGGATTAAAAAAACAGTACAAATATATGATAAAAAACTTTTATTATGATTTTCGTTTTTATTTTATTTCTATGGTCTTAACTGGAAGTGGATCTTCTAATCCATTGTGGTAATACTTATACATAATGATACACAATATTTGGGTGTCAAAACTTAGTAGTTATATTCACTTTGCTCGAGTTCGTCCCTAGGTTACTTCCCCATAAAAACTTCTATTCCCATTTTCACCCCCTTAAAGGATGATTTCTGGGATAAAAAATATCCTATGTCCTTCCCAGGGTCTCAAAATATCTTCATACCAAATTTCACATAAATCGGTTTAGTAGTTTCGGAGTTAATTCGGTACAAGCAAACAAACAAAGAAACAAAAAAAATCCTCTTTACAATATTAGTATATAGATATATAGGCATAGATTCACATATTTATTAGCGGTAAGCAGACTCTTTACTGACAAGCGGTAGTATAAGCGGATCGATAAAATCACTATTTAATCTGCATAGTAGTATATTTATAAAGGTATTATAGGTTAATATAATATAGTAATAAAAACCGCTTCAAACTTATTTGTTATTATAAACTGCTTTAGTTAGATCGGAAAACATTTATTAGGGAAATCTAACCACAGCCAATAAGTTAAAGAAAAATTAAATATACGTCTCTACAGTAAATAAATATTATCTTTCATATTATAAGTGATACTATATCCTCAGAAAGCCCGGCGACGGAGATTCATCTGTAAGCTTATCATCGATCGTGGCATAGGTCTGTATGTCTCGTCACCCCCTCCCTCCGGGTTGAGTAATTGGGAGCAGGTAGAAATGGTGATAGATATATTTTTCTTTTGCTGTCTTTAGGTCAGTAACGTAAAAAATTTTAAAGTTCCCTTCAATGATTTTTAATTCTATATTACACATTTACCTAAATTATTATAGATATTATTTTTATAAAAAATATATGGGTAATAAATTTAACTGCAATCAGTATTTTAGGAGTTTTAACAGAATATTAGAAAGTATGTAATTAATGAAGTTTTATTTTTATTATCTTATTCATATTTGTTTTTAGGGGTTGGATAACATTTTATTTACACAATTTCAAAATAAATATGTTTATATAGACAATTCAAAGATTATCATTTCCTAATAAATCATACATATTTATACTACCAATCAATTTTTTTTAATATTATTTTAATGGTTTTTAATTCCATATTTTTTATTTTATGTATAATTGAGGTAGATACGTACCTATATGTAATATCTATATCAGATTTTTTCGGAATAAATAAAAAACGTTCACATAACAAGTGAAAAAAATCCTTACCAACATATTTTTGAAACGATAAATAAAACAAGGAACCCTTTAAAGAACAAACAGACATCACTTACGATACCGTATATTAAGTTAAACAGCTCCAAGTGTCATCTCTTATAGTAAGAGATAAAGGAAGCTGCTAACATCTTTATTGAGAAGCGCACAATTAATTTCAAAGAATACTCGCAAACTGCAAACATTAAGATCCAACTCAATTTGGTGTTCAAAAATTGTTGATCACTTACAAAGCAAGGCATTCCGTACTGTTTTAGCCGATACAAATGCTTTGTAGGCATAAATCACTCACTTCCTATCACAGTTCAAGTCAGGGCTTCTCAAACTGCTAATAAAGCGCAAAGGCATAGTGTGCCATGCTTTTGAGGTCGTAGGTTCGATTTTATATGCACATTTATTAGCCATGTGAAAAAAACTGCGACAAACGTAAGAGCGGGGTTTGAGCGTGCAGCATAAATACATTTTTACTCCCGCTTAATAATATATCGGTAATATTATAAGCCTAAGTGTGTATATTGGTTTGTAATAGTTCAAGCAGCGGCAGATAAATTGTATAAACAAATTATATAGTATAGTTTTCTCAAGGATGAGATATTTTTCTGCAGTAACATGTCCTAAATTTTGACCTGGATAACCAGCTCATCATACCAAATTTTACAAAATCTGTTCAGTGGTTTTCTCGTGATGCGTTCTCAGACAGACAGACAGTCAAATATTCTAAAAACTATAGATTCGGCCTCAGTATAATATTTAATGTACAGATTCGACTCAGTCAGAATTTTATTATATGTACCTATAGATGATAAGGAACATCCAATAGGTATAATTATAAGACTTCACAAAACGTGACTAAGAAACATGCCTCCGCAAAGCATTATCTACTAATCCATAGTACTCGTTGATATTTAGTCGTAGTAATTGTCGTAGTCACTACAAAGGAAGGTATTTATAAAATTAATTTAAAATGTTCAGTTTTTCATGTTTCACTGTGGGAAAGTTCGTGTACCACGAAAATTTCTACAGATGAAATCATAAATACGATAGGGGAGAAGTGGTATGAAAGGGACACGTATTGAAAGGGACAATTTAAATAACTGGCAAAATAAAAACAATTTCGGGTCAACCCTATATATATCGTATGACTTTTTTGATTCTGAAACATACCTAAGTAGTTATTGTACAAATACTTGATATTTTTAGAACATGTGTAGCAAAGTGTAAAGTGATTTTCCTTGATATACTGTCCCTTTCATAAACTATTGTGTCCCTTTCAATCCAGGCTATTATTGAAAGGGACAAAATACACATTTTTTTAAAATGCGGAATTAAATAACTAAGGATAAAGAAAAGAGAATTAGTGCATTTTATTTCAGTAGTATAATAATAGAGGCTTCCCATTTGACTTCAACCAGTTCCAAATATTATCTCAATCACTTTCTAGAGCCTCAATATCAAAAATGTCCCTTTCATGCCACCTCTCCCCTACCTACGATTATAATTAAATTGTAAAAAAATATGAAAAAATATATAAAAAATATGGTGTAAACCATAGTAATTCCAAGTAAAATTTTCCATTGTGCCATCTAACTGAAAATCAAAGTACTTTGGAGATCCCTGTCTTAAACGATCCGCAAATAACACAATAGGTACGGAACCGTCACCCTTAAATCACTCGTTCACTTGCCTTTTTGCTTTTTTCATGGACGAGGTAATTTAGGAACGTCTGACGCGTTCTTCTCTGTGCTCATCAATTTCTCTTCGACTAAACGATTGCTTATAGATTTTCTTAAAGAATTTTATTATTAATAAAACAATATTTTTACCTTAACATACATATTATATGTATATTTTATGTTTATTTAAATTTTAATTTATTAGCTTATAATATCCGTATTTATTTGTAGGTACATATAGAAAAAAATTATTTGTGTATTATATGTATATATTATGTTATATGT